CCCCCCCCCCCCCCCCCACCTCCTACCTCCAAATATGATCTTTGATCCTTAGCTCCTGCTTTATGAGCCTGGGACTTAGATTTCCAAAATTAATACTTGGCCTTGACTCCAAGATTCTACCTTCTGAGCACTGATCTTAAAATCTTACATTCAAAGAGAAAACGTAAGCTCCATTATAGCAGGGTTCACGTGTGAAATATTTATTGAACACTAGCAGGTTCCAGGGCCTATTTTAGGTGCTGTGATAAAGCAGTGAAGAAAACGGACAAAAGCTTAAACCCTTGTGGAGTTTGCGTTCCAAGGGTGGGTATATCGATAGGACAGATGGACTGACAGGAAGACAGGAAGGAAGCGGGGAGGGAAAAAAGGAGAAAGAAGGAAAGAAAGGGTCAGAGAAGGAAAGAAAGACACAAAGTGAGAATGAGCGAAAGAGAGAGGAAAGGAAGAAAGACAGAAAAATGAAAACAATATAAAAGAAAGGCAGGGAAACGGTATGTCTGAAGGTAGTAAGGTCTTTGGGAAAAAATAAAGCAGGAAAATGAGACCAGTGAATTATTTGGGGGGGGGGGAGCACTCCATGTAGAAGGGACAATGGTTGTAAAGGCCCCTGTGACGGATTGTACTGGGTTTTTTGTTCATTGTGTTCACTCTTCTGTCCTCAGTGACCGAACAGTGCTTGACCCATAATACGCACTCAGGAAATAGTGATCTTTTTGAAGAACCAGCTTAGGTTTCATTAATTTTCTTTATTGGATTTTTGCTTTCTATTTCATTGATCTCTGTTCTTTCATTCTTACCCTTCTTTTGCTTACTTTGGGTTTAATTTGTTCTTTTTCTTTTTTTTTGTTTCTTAAGGTGCCAGCTGAGCTTATCCATTTGAGACCTTTCTTTTCTAATATAGGTGTTTCATGCTATAAATTTCCCATAGTACTGCTTTAGCAGTCTCACAAATTCTGATATACTGTGTTTTCATTTTCATTTAATTCAATATACTTTCTAATTTCTCTTTTGATTTCTTCTTTGGCCAGTGGATTATTTAGAAGTATGTTATTTAGTTTCAAGGTATTTGGAAGGTCTTCCAAATGTCCCTTTTTAAATTGATTTTTATTTTTTTTTTATTTTATTTATTTTTTTTTTTTAATTTTTTTTTTCAACGTTTATTTATTTTTGGGACAGAGAGAGACAGAGCATGAACGGGGGAGGGGCAGAGAGAGAGGGAGACACAGAATCGGAAACAGGCTCCAGGCTCCGAGCCATCAGCCCAGAGCCCGACGCGGGGCTCGAACTCACGGACCGCGAGATCGTGACCTGGCTGAAGTCGGACGCTTAACCGACTGCGCCACCCAGGCGCCCCTAAATTGATTTTTAAAAAAGTTTTATTTATTTAAGCCCCTACACCCCATGCGGGGCTTGAACTCATGACCCCAGGATCAGGAGTCACATGATCTTCTGACTGAGCCAGCCAGGTGCCCTTTTGTTTTTAAAATTGCTTTTCAATTTAATTCCATTGTAGACTGAGAACATACTTTATGTGACTTGAATCCTCTTAAACTTATTGAGAATTGTTTTATGGTGGAGAACATTATGTGTGCACTTGAATGGATATTCTGTTGTTGGGTACAGTGTTCTCTATTTTTTTAAAAAAACTTTTTAATGTTTATTTATTTTTGAGAGAGAGACAGAGACAGAGAGAGTGCCAGCAGGGGAGAAGCAGAGAGAGAGGAAGATACAGAATCCAAAGCAGGCTCCAGGCTCCCAGCTGTCAGCACAGTGCCCGACGCGGGGCTCGAACTCAAGAGCCATGAGATCATGACCCGAGCTGAAGTCGGATGCTTAACCGACTAAAATTTTTAAGTAATCTCTACTCCCAACGTGCGGCTCAAACTGACAACCTAGAACTCACAACCATGCTTTACTGACTGAGCCAGCCAGGCCCTCTGGCTTTACTAACTTTCTCTTTGTTCTGTTATTTAAATGGTTGGCCAACTGTGGCCTCCAGGCAAAATCTGGCCAGCCATCTGCTTTCGTAAGGCTGTGAGCTAAGAATGGTTTTTACATTTTCAATGGTTGAAAAAAATCAGAAGAGAAGAAGAATATTTTGCCGCAAGCGAAAGTTACGTGAAATTCACATTTCAGACTGCACAAAGAAAGTTATGTTGGAATACAGCCATGCGGGGTCATTTATATATTGCCAGTGGCTGCTTTTGTATCACAAGTGCAGAGCTGAGTAGGTAAAAAGAGACACGGTAGGATCCACAAAGCCTAAAATCTTTAACTGGCCTTTATAGAAAAAGTTTGCTGACTTCTGCTTTTTTGGGCTTATATGTCATTTCACATAGGGTAAAAGATGAAAGAACTTTAGAAGAGAATATATTTCCATCTGTCCCCTCCTGGCCTCAACGTTAGTGTTGCCATACATTCCACTTACACGTGTGTCCTAAGCTCCCCCATACTTTGTTAGTATTTTTGTTTAAACAGTCAGCTATTTTTCCAAATTACCTTCTGAAGAGCCTTACAGTAACAAGAGAAAAAAAGATCTTCCATATTTACCCACATAGTTACTATTTTCAGTTTTCGTTATTCTTCTCTTTAATGTTGCTTTGGCGATTCGGGTCTGCTGCTGATGCGTTTTCTCGGCGTCATTAGTTTGTCTTCATGTTTGAAAGACGTTTTCGCTGGGTTAAAGAATTCTGGGTTGACTGTCTTTGAATACTTGAAAGTGGTGCTCCATTGTGTTCCCTTGCCTTATTTTTATTTTTCTGTACTTAAAGTAGTTTTGCCTCTGGCTCGTGTGAAATTTTTGTTTTCATCATTGGTTTTGAACAGGACTTTTATGTTGGGCCTTTGCATAGTTTTTTTTTGTTTGTTTGTTTTTTTGTCTTTTTGTTTTTTTTCAGTATTTCTTGTTCTTGGGAGTCAGTGAGCTTCTTGGATCTGTGGATTTGGAAAATTAAATTAAGTGTCTGACTTCGGCTCAGGTCACGATCTCGCAGTTTCTGAGTTCAAGCCCCGCAACCAGCTCAGTGCCAACAGCTCAGAGCCTGGAGCCGGCTTTGGATTCTGTGTCTCCGTCTCTCTCCGCCCCTACCTGCTCGCAGTCTGTCTCTTTCTCTCTCTTTCAAAAATAAATAAACGTTAAAAAAAAAAATGTTCTCTTGTGTTTCATTAAGAATAGCTCTTATGGTGAAGTCTTCAAGTTTGCTAATCTTTTTTTCCTGTGGTGTTTAATCTGCTACTAATCCCACCCAGTGTATTTTTCATTTCAGATGCTATAGTTTTTATCCCTAGGAGTTTGGTTTGAGTCTTTTTTTTTTTTTTTATCATCCATGTCTCTACTTAACTTTTTGAATGTTTGAGATTCACTTATAATGAACTCTTTTAATGTTTTTGTTCGTTAATTCCAACATCTGGGTCATTTCTGGGTCAATTTCAACTGATTGATCCTTCTCATTATGGATCATGTTTTCCTGCTTATTTGCCTACCTGGTAATCTTTGATTAGATGCCAAATATTGTGAATTTTACCTTGTTAGGCCAGCAAGTTGTGGATTCCTATAAATACTGTTGAGTGTTGTTTTGGGATGCAGTTAAACTACTTGTAAGCAGTTCGGGCTATCTGGGTGGCTTGGTTGGTTGAGTGTCTGACTTCTGCTCAGGTCACGATCTCACGGTTAGTGAGTTTGAGCCCCACATCGGGCTCGGTACTGATGGCTTAGAACCTGGAGCCTGCTTGGGATCCTGTGTCTCCCTCTCTCTCTCTGCCCCCCTTCCTCACTTGCCTTCTGTCTGTCTGTCTCTTTCTCTCTCTTTCTCTCTCAAAAGTAGATAAACATTAAAAAAAAAAACAAACCCAACTACTTGTAAGCGGATTGATCCTTTGGGGTTTTGCTTTCATGATTTGTTGGGTGGGTCCTGAGCAGCCCTCATCTAGGGCTTATTATTCCCCACAACTGAGGTAAGAACCTTCCAGAGTATTCTACCCAAGGTCCTTGGGTTTTTCCTAGTCTGATTGGTGGGAACAGGCATTATTCCTGGTCTCTGTGAGGGATGGGCATGTTTCCCTAATCTTTTTGGATGGTTTCTTCACACCCCTGCATTAATCAGCACTCTCCCAAATACTCCAGAGGCCCCTCTGTAGACCCCCCAGGGTCTCTCCCTGTTCAGCCCTCTCCTTTTGGGTTCTCTGTCCTCTGACTCTAGCTGCCTGCCTTCCCCAGCCTCCCCTCCTTCTTGCCTCGTATGCAATCTGCGAGGCCCCTCTCTGTGCGGTGTCTACTCTCAAGACGGTAAACTTGGCAATCAGTTGAAGGGCTCACCTCATTTTGTTTCCTCTTTAGGGATCATGGTCATTCATTGCATGAGGACTAGTATCTGGAAAACTGTTGCTTCCTATACCATAGTTTGTCAGATTTTTTTGGTTGATTCAGATGGGAGGGAAATCTGGTCCCTGTTTTTTCGTCTTGGGAGGCAGTAGAAGTCCTACTTAATACACACCGATTAGGGGCGCCTGGGTGGCTCAGTTGGTTAAGCATCCGACTTCAGCTGAGGTCATGATCTCGCGGTTCGTGAGTTCGAGCCCCGCATCGGGCTCCACGCCTACAGTGCGGAAGCTTGCTTGGGATTCTCTCTCTCTCTCCCTCTCTCTGCCCTTCCCCCACTCTCACTTTCTCTCTCTCTCTCTCTCAAAGTAAATAAATAAACTTAAAAAAAATTTTTAAAAACCAAAGCACCGATTAAACCAATATGCTGACTTAACTGACCTGACCCTCCTAGATTCCTGACAGTTGGTTCCAGACTTCTATGCTCTGCTCCCTGTTTTTGTCTTCAGGGCATTGCACCTGGCAGTGATTCATCAGCATGAGCCCTTCCTGGATTTCCTCCTAGGCTTCGCGGCTGGCACCGAGTACCTGGACTTGCAGAATGACCTGGGCCAGGTGAGCCCCTCGGGGACAGTTTAGGGCTTGGGACTGGGTTCTCCGTGCACCCCCTGATCCCTGCCCTCTGCTCCCGCAGACAGCCCTTCACCTGGCAGCCATCCTGGGGGAGGCCTCCACAGTGGAGAAGTTGTACGCGGCGGGTGCCGGGTTGCGTGTGGCGGAGCGCGGGGGCCACACGGCACTGCACCTGGCCTGTCGCATGAGGGCACACGCCTGCGCCCGTGTGCTACTCCAGCCCCGTCCCCGGTGCGCCAGGGGAGCCCCCAACACCTACCTCGCTCAGGGCCCCGACCGCACCTCTGACGCCGACCGCCTGCCTGTCGCCTCGTACCCCGACCCCGACTTGGAGAAGGAAGATGACGAGAGCGAGGAGGATTGGAAGCTGCAGCTGGAGGCTGAAAACTATGAGGGTGAGGGGTTCTCACTACTCGGGACCCAGGAATTTGGGGTCCAGGCCCTTTGTGAAGTAAAGACCAGAGACTCGGTCTCCTGGTCCCAAGATCCAGGCCTCCTGTCCAAAGCCCCCAGGCTCTTCATCCATAAGCCCCAGACATGCCACAAGCCGGGCATTGGCACCCCCAGTAAGTTCCAGACCACCGAGACGTAGGCATTTGGGCTGCAGAAGCCTGTTTGACATACCCAGGAAATCAGGAGCTGTACCCCAAACTCAGTCTCCTCAGGCCACAAAGCCATCCCCTGGGACCTTGGCATTTGAGGCCCAGGCCCCTCACCCCCATCGTCCGACACCTGTCGCCCTATCCACAGGCCATACCCCGCTTCACGTGGCCGTCATCCACAAAGACGCAGAGATGGTCCGGCTGCTCCGGGAGGCTGGAGCTGACCTCAACAAACCGGTGAGCTGCCCTGGGGAGAGGATGTGGCAGGGAGGCTTGGCCCCCAGAGTGGGGCAGGGCCTCCCTGACCCCTCTGTTGTGCCTCGCAGGAGCCCACGTGCGGCCGGAGCCCCCTGCACTTGGCAGTGGAGGCCCAAGCAGCCGACGTGCTGGAGCTTCTCCTGAGGGCAGGGGCCGACCCTGCCGCCCGCATGTACGGTGGCCGCACCCCACTGGGTAGTGCCACGCTCCGGCCCAACCCCATCCTCGCCCGCCTTCTCCGTGCACATGGAGCCGCTGAGCCCGAGGACGAGGACGACAGACCCGGCCCCTGCAGCAGCAGTAGCGACAGTGACAGCGGGGACGAGGGCGTGAGTGGGGGGGACAGGACCGGGCGGCCCAGCCGGGGGGTCAGGGTAAACGGGCAGACGGGAAGGGGGAGAAGAGACATTAGGCAGCACGTTGAGACTGACCTCGGGCTGCTGTGATTCGAGAACTCGGGCAGCTGTGCGGGGAGACCTGGGCAGGGGTGGTGGGGAGCACGCGGGTAGTGGTGGTGGGGAACCGAAGGCAAGGGCAGAGGTGGAACTCGGGCAGAGTTAGAGAAAAGACCTCGATTGTGGTGACTGATAATGGTAATGGTACTGGTTGGCAATGGTGGCTGACAGCGTAGGGAGTGATCTCACAGGGCAGGAGTCGGAGAACTCAGGCTCCGGGAAGCACTGATTCCAACCCTGGCGGCAGTGGGGAGAGACCTCCGGTGAGGAGGTTGCATTGGAGAACCCAGGTGGCAGAGACCCCACTCTGGGCAGGGACGATGTTGGGGGGGCAGCGAGGAATCTGGGTAGAGGCAGAGGGAGGGGGCGGAGGAGGGAGACCCCAGTGGCTGTGGCTGCCTAAGTACTGGCAAAGCAGTGGGGCCGGAGCCCAGGCAGTGGTGGTGGGAGAACACAGGTGACCTTGAACGTGGTGTGTGGAAAACTAAGAGCAGGGAAGTTGAAGGATGACTGGGCGAGCTGGGGCTTCGAGACAAGACCCAGCTGTCGGGGTGGGTGGAAGCAGCTGGACAGCAGGCAGGGTGACAGCCGCCTGAGCCCCTGTGCCTGCCCCCTTTGTCCCCAGGATGAATACGACGACATCGTGGTCCACAGTGGCCGCGGCCAAAACCGGCTACCTCCCACCCCAGCCTCGAAACCTCTCCCTGATGACCCCGTCTGACCTCATTGTTAATAGGATTTCCAATTTAATAAAATCCCAGTTCTGACAACCAGAGACCGTTCCCGGGTCCCCATCTGTCTAACATCAAGTGCCACACGAGCCTTAGCGGTTTTCTTTGTGCTTTATTCACTCGGCAGGGTTGGAGTGGGTTACATGGGTGGCCGGGTGTTTCCCGAGTCGGTTGGAGCCCAGCCCCTCTACCCAGCTCAGACTTGGCCCCTCGGGCCTGGTCGCGTGGCACACCTGTCCCCCCATTCCTTCAGGCTGGGGAACGGAGTGGGGTGTTAGGCAAGCTTTGGGGGTCAACAGTCATAAGCCATAGGGTGTGTCAGGAAGGAGGACGCGAGGTCGGGGGTCATCCCTCCCTCCTGATCTCCTCCCCGAGAAGCTCCGTTGCCTTCTTTAGCTCATCTCGCACGTGCTCCAGCCGCCCCGTGTCATGCTCCTGGGGGGATCAGAAACGGGTTGATCAGCCCACCCATCTTCAAGGGCAGGCCCCCTCAGGAGTCACCCATGAATGTGGGCCATGTCAGTTTGCATGCCAGCAGCCGGCAGCGGTCCTCTAGTCCCCACGGACCGCGGTGGTGACTGCAGTGGAAGAGTTAGACTGGCCGACGTGGCCAACGGTGCAGTCTGCGTGGACCGCCACGGCCAACGACAGCAGGTGGGGCTAGTAAAGGGGCCCTGACCCATTTGTGAGGTGCTGGCCGGTTAGGCTGCTGCCGCCAGTCATGGGGACGTCTTTCTTTCCACGGCCCAGCAGTGGTGTCCACCTGTGGTCCAGCGAACCGAGCACGGCAGCCACTTTTCACGTGGCCAGACGGCGCGTTACTGACTACGGTGGCGGCTAACTCGGACGCTTCCGCGCGATTCTGGTGGCCATCTTGGTTACTGTACTCTTGGTGTGGAAGCCATCTTGGCCAAGCAGGGGCCTTGCTCGGATGTCGCTGCCTAGTCCTGGTGTCCGTTCCGGTCACCATGGTCCATTTGTGGTGGACAGTGGCCGTTTACGACCCAACTGGTACCCATTTGGTAGTCGACTCCACTGGCCGTTTGGCCTACCCCGCTTGCCCGTGGCCTCCACTCACCTCCCTCTCGGAAGCCTCTTCCTTCTCCTCCTGCTTGGGCCCAGCTTCTGGCTGGCGGAGGCGGTGGTGATGCGGCGAGTCCTCGTGCCTTTCTCCTCCACCCGCCTCGGCCTCCTGCCACAGGCCGTGGCCCGTGCCCAGCACCTGCACACCCTTCTCCTCGGCCTCAAACTGGGCTGTCTCCTCGTCACTGGCCTGCTCTGCCACTCGCTTGTGGGGCCCCCCTCCACCCTCTGGGCGCCGCTTCCACGGGCCTTCGAAGGGTTCCACGGGCCCCCTCTTCTTCCTCTCCTCCTCCTCCTCCTCCCGCTCCTGCTCCTCCTCCTCCTCCTCCTGGTGGAGCTGGCTATGGAGCTGCTCGCGGATGGTCTGTTCCCGCACCTCAGACTTGTGGGCCCTCTCGGCTGCCTCTTCCTCATCCCTCGCTTCCTGGCTGGACCTCATCTTCCCAGCCTCTTGCTTCTTGAAATCCCCAACCAGTAGGCCTTTCTCTTTGGTGGACACACAGCCGTAGGGCTCTGTCTCACACATCTCTGGTGGAAAGAGAGAGGATGCTCTCTGTGCAGCAGAATCGGGAACCGGACCTGGAGGAGTTCTGGGGCCTGCCCGAGGCCCCACAGGGGGGCTGCCCAAAACCGGGAGAGGAGGGTCAGGTCTGGGGGATGTTCTCTGCGCCCATCCCGTACCTCTGCAGGGACCCCCCCAGGGTGGGGCTGGAGGCCGGACGGGACACCGGGCGTGCCGTGCCAGCCCAGGCAAGGGGGCCCTGGGATGAGACCACCTTTCCTCCAGGCAGCCCCGGCCGGAACCCCGGGTGGGGTGGGGGCCCCCGAGAGGCTCTGGGGCCTGGGCCCTCCTTACCTTTGTGGAGGAGAGCTGTGCAGGGGCTTCTCTGGGCCTGGCCCAGCGTCAGCACTTCTGTGACCACTTCTGCCAGACAGCGGGTCAGCTGGGCGTGAAGGGTCAGAGGGGAGGTTGAGGGTAGGGCAGACGGGAGGAATGAGAGCAGTGGGAAGTTTGGGAGGGAGATGATCATGGAGGCCGGTCAGGGAGGGCCAGGGTCTGGGGAAGATGAGGCAGGGCAAGGGGTCTGCACTCCTCACCTCTTCCTTGGAAGGTCTTGGCGCCAAGGGAGCAGCGGTGGCTGTGGAAGAAGGAGGTGGGTGCTGGTACCTTCGGTACCCCGCGGGCACTGTCCTTGGTGCTGATCCACGGTCCTCTCCCCAGCCTACCTGCCAGGTGCACTGTCCCTACCTGGAAGCTCAGCCCCTGAAGTCTCTAGTCCAACCCCAAGGGGTGCACCGTTCCCGCCCCCCGCACCCCCAGTCCCTGGTCCCTGAGCTGGCCGCAGAGGTGTCCTCTCCAGTTCCTGGCACTCACCGGCCCCCGGCAGCAGCGCCAGAAGCAGGGGCAGCGGCAGCAACAGCAGCACGGAGGCGGGCCCGCGGCTCTGCATGGTGGGGCGTCGGGACCAGGGTGCTCGGCGCCGGCGCCGCGCCGGACGGCGCGGCAGCTCCTTATAACCCGCGCCAGTGGCCCCGCGGGGGAGGAAGTGACGTCATCACCGCCCCTTCCCCGCCCGCGCCGGGGTGACAGCTGCCGGGCGGCCACCCGCCGGAGACCCTCAATTATTCATGGAGACCCACGTCCCGCACCCGCTCCTCTTCCAGCTAATGGTCCCGGAGCGTCAGCATGGAGGGAGGGTGCTTCCCCCAGAGAGACACGAGAGACAAGGTCTGTTGAGCTTAAGGCTGCACGGGGAGGGCGACCTGAGTTCGAATCCAGCGGCAGCCATTCACAGATAGACCTCAGGCAACTCCTTCCCTTCTTTGGCCTTTTCCTCATCCGGAGATTTGGGGGTCCTAAACCTACTTCCGCAGAGGTGGTGACTGGGTTCCGCCTGAATCCCAGCTCCACCACGGCCAGCTGTGCAGCCTGGGAAAACTGCCAGACCTCTCTAGGATTGGTTTTATGCTTTGTGAGACAGCGCGGGTGGCCACCTGCCCCACAGGTGAGGGGTAAATACATAACGGGTGCGTAAGGTCATTTAGACAGTGTCTGGCCCTGGGAACTACACCCGCCCCAGCACCCTCAGTCCAGTAGCTTTTGTTGAGCACCTACTATATGCCCCGCCCTCTCAGAAAGCCCGGGTGATGGCGGTGAACAAGCAGGCAAACTTCCCCGTCCTCTCGGGGCCGACGTTTGAGAAGGGGAAGACACAACGCTCAACTCCGCGCCTATAAGGAAGGAGGAAATGACCACAGACGCCTGCATCACACGGTGCGAGCGGCTCTTCCTTTGGCCGGCCAGGGAAGTCCTCTCTGAGGAGGTGATATGTGGGCTAAGGCCTGAGTCATAAAAATGGAGGCAATCACACAAGATTGAGGGGAAGAGTAGCCACAGAAGGGACTAGCCAGCGCAAAGGTCGGAGTCAAGAATGAGTCTGCAGACTGGGGTGCCTGGGCGGCTCAGTCAGTTAAGTGTCTGACTTCAGCTCAGGTCACGATCTCGTGGTTTGTGAGTTTGAGCCTCACGTCGGGCTCTGTGCTGACAGCTCAGAGCCTGGAGCCTGCTTCAGATTCTGTGTCTCCCTCTCTCTCCCTGTTCCCCCACGCTCACATTGTCTCTCTCTCTCTCTCTCAAAAATAAATAAAGATTAATTAAAAAAAAAATGAGTCTGCAGAGTTAGGACAGCAAGATCAGAGCACGAGAGAGAGGAGGTGGGTTGAAACGGAAGGCAGGGGGCAGACCATGCGGGGCTCTGGATCACGGGGACAGCTCTGTCCTTTCCCCTGAGATGGAGCTACACGAGGGCTCCAAGCGGGGGAGGGATGTGACCAGACAAAGGTGTCCGCAGGGTCGCTCTGGCTGCGTGGGGGCGGGGGAGCGAGGAGATGGTGAAGGGGCTGTCGTGACTCTCCAGATGGGGAGAAAACAGTGGACAGGACCGGGGAGGGACCAGGGAGAGACTGGGGAGGAAGACAGTAAGGGTGGATTCTGGTAATGGTTTGGAGAAGGAGCCGCCAGGGTCTGACCTACGTGGGCACGAAGGGAGCAGAGAGGGACCGAAGGGCTGTGGCCTGAAGAACCGGGAAGGCAGTTCCATGTACCAAGACAGGCACAGCGAGGGGAAGAACGAGTTCTGCTTCGTGGAGTTTGTGCTGCCTACTGGACCCCACCCCCCCCAACCCCCTGCAGTGGAGATGGGGGAGCGAGGTTGAAACTGGGGTCAGTGCAAGGTGCCCCTCGTCCTAGAGCAAGGGAGAGGCCTCGCACCCTCTCAGTTCCTGAGGTGGCCCCCAAGTTGCCCTCTGTGTGCTCTGGGGGCTGCTGGACACTCTTGGCCATGGTCCCTGTGGCCACAGACCCTATGATGGTTTAGTACCTCTGACCAACTGCCCAGCACCCCCGCAGGTCAGCCAGGGTCATCTCCCTTGCTCACAGATCCACAAAGGCCTTGGTTCTGACCATTTATTGGGGACTTTTCTGCTAAGTACTGGGGGAGGGAAGAAGGAAGGACGCTTGGAGGCCTCTTCCTCTCCTTCTCCCATCCCTACAACCTTTAAATCCCCAGGCGTCCTGCTTTCCAGTGCAGGCTGGGACCACCAGTGACAACAGGGTCACCGGCTGATTCTGAGGAAGTACGGAAGTAGGAAAGGGGCCCGGGCACGGAGCCGGTGTGAGGAATGCAGATGTCAGGACGGGCTTAGGAAAACGGGTCCCAGGTCTCCAGGGTCCCCTGAGCTCCAGGAAGCGGCAACAGCCCTGCTGACCGATGGCGGCGAGCTCTCAGCTCGAAGCGGGCCGGCCCGGGAGCCTGGGCTTCTGGGGCTGGTTGGGGCCGATGTACTGGAGAGGCACGTGGGTGGGGGCCGTGATCCGATCGGTGCCAAGGTAGGGCTGGAGGGCAGGGGGCACGAGGACCGAGCCGTCCTGGGGACAGAGCAGGCCTCAGGATGCTGCCACTGACCCGGGCCTCCACCCTCGGCCTCCCTGGGTGGGATCCTTCCACCGCTCACCTCCTGCTGGTTGCTCTCCAGGAGGGCGATGAGCAGGCGAGGGACGGCACAGGCTGTGGCGTTCACCTGGGGGAGAGGCGTGCTCGCGTCCGCGACGACCTCTCCTGCCCCGGAGAGGCCGACGGGGTGTGGGCCTCAGGGAGCGGAGGCTCTCGGGAGGCTAGGCGAGGGGGGGGCGGGCGCTTACTGTGTGGGCAAACTGCAGCTCCCCGGCCTCCTTCTGGAACATGATGTGCAGCCGGCGGCTCTGGAAGTCCGTGCAGTTGGAAGCACTGGTGACCTGGGTGCGGGGAGGGGTGGGCTGAGAGGATCACCTGTGGGGGGTCCGGTCCTGGTCCCCCACTGCGTCCCCACCGCGGCGGGGGCTCACCTCGCCAAAGCGGCCGCGGCCCGGCATCCAGGCCTCGATATCGAACTTGCGGTAGGCGGGGAGGCCCAGTTCCTGGGTGGGCATGTCCAGGACGCTGCGGCGGAAGAGAAAGTCGTGGCGGAGGTCAGTGAGAGGCAAGAGGAGGTGGCGGCAGTGGTGGAGGAGGAGGGGAAGGAGGGAGAAGGCGGTGGGGGGGGTGATGGAAGAGAAGATAGCCAAAAAAGAGGAAAATGGAAGCGAAAAAGGAGGAGGAGCTGGTGGCGAAGAGGGCACAGAGGCGAGGCACGGGGGAGTGGAGAAGGCGGAAGGGGAGCGGATTGTGGGGGGAGGACGGGGAGGAGAGTGGGCATGGGGCCACTCTCGGCACCCTGGGTCTGTAACGGGTCACCGAGAGGAAAAGCCCACATCGCCCGGCCTCTCTGGAAGCCAGGTGTGACGGATAGGATGGGAGGGCGTGGGGCCACCCACCAGGTCCTGCCTGAAAGGGAAGGGGGCGCCCCCGCCCTCCCCGCCGAGCCCAGGCAGTGAGGAGCCCCTTGGGGTGAAGTGCCGATGAGGCAACACCGAGGGATGGGAGCCACGAGAGGGAAGGGGCCCGGGTCCCCATCCCCGGGGCGCCCTGCGCCACTCAGGCTGCTGTCACCGTCCTATGGTCCCACACGGGAGGTTACAGACTGACAGATACGTATCCCGCGTGTATTCCTGACACGGGGCAAGGGGGCGGAGGGAGAGGAGGTGATGAGGGCGTGTAAGGTGGGGAGCACCTAGCCAGCCCATCCCTCCTCCCTCACCCCCACCCTTCTCCGCACCGGAAGTGCAGGCCCAGCTCCGTCAAGATCTCCATCTGCAGGGACAGGAACTCCTCCAGCAGCTGTGAGCTCTGCTCCAGCCCAGGGCCTGTCACCCCGAACATCTCCACCTGGGGCAGTGCAGCGGGCACAGGAGTCAGAAGGCCCCCGGCCACTGGAGTGAGCCCTCCCCCCCAGGTCGCGGCTACACCAACCTTGGTGAAATGGTGCACTCGATACAGTCCCCATGGCTCCTTCCCTGTGTCTGTCTCAGCCCGGTAGCAGGTACTGGAACAAACCATCCTGGGCCGGGGTGGGGGGGGCAGGGGAGGTAGAGTCAGGGAGGGGAGAGGGAATGTCACAGTGGGGGACAAGATCTAAAGGAACCGGACATCGGGGCGCCCGGGTGGCTCAGTCGATTGAGCGGCCGACTTCGGCTCAGGTCATGATCTCGCGGTCCGTGAGTTCGAGCCCCGTGTCGGGCTCTGGGCTGACCGCTCAGAGCCTGGAGCCTGTCTCGGATTCTGTGTCTCCCTCTCTCTCTCTGACCCTCCCCCGTTCATGCTCTGTTTCTCTCTGTCTCAAAAATAAATAAACGTTAAAAAAAAATTAAAATAAATAAAGGAACTGGACATCACCTGATTGGCAGGTCCCTGAAGGCCACGGAGTGGTCCATGAAGTAGCCTGGGAGGAGAGAGAAACAGAATGTGTCAGCCAGGATGGGTCACCACCATCCACAGGAAATCTCTGTGACAATTAGAAAAGGTGTCCTCTCTGGTAGACACGACCTCTCGTCAGGGCATGGGGCTGGATCCTCACTGTACTGTTGTGCAGTAAACAACCTACACAACTGTACAGGCTGGCCCTGGGGGTCACTGAGACATCCTAGGCAGGCAGCTGTCACCCCCAGGATGCTCCTGGTTATCCCCCTACAATCCCTCCTGCTCTGAGGACACTGGAGGTATCCTCATCCCTGCTGCTGCCCCCAGGCAGGTGCTTACCAGCGAGCCCCACCTCTGCTGTCCCAGCCAGGCTGAGGTCTTCGAAGCGGGATGGGTCGATATTGTAAATTTGGGATGGGTTGGCATTTGGTGTCATCCCACAGCCTTCCTGGGGAGGAGGCCAAGCCACACAGGTCAGGGGACAGATAACCTCAGCCTCCTTTTGCAGGAACAAGCCCCGCTCCTCCCCAGGAAGCACCTGGGGTTGCCCACCCTCAACCCAGTCCCAGGGCCGTCTCTGCAGGGGAGACAGGCTGTTCTTCACGCCTGGGGTCCCCGGAACAGGGCCTGGCACGCAGCTGGGTGCGGGGGGCACTCACAAACACAGCTCCCCGGAGAAGGTCTGGCACTGTCATGGGAGTGAAGCCCTGTGAAGGGGAAGGGGGCGGGGTGAGGGCACGGCCAGGACCCCCACCAGACCAGGGACACTGCAGAGTGGGCCAGTGACTCCCGCTTGTCCTTCAAAACCCATTCCGCCTCAGAGGAGATTGAGGGAGGCTTCAACTGGCTTGGAGCCAGTAGGCTTGGAGCTGGCTTCGGGACCCTGGTGTCCCTGCCGCCGGGGCCCTCTCTGTCGGTGCTTTGCGGTTTCCTCTCACTGCATCCCACACAGGGTAGCGGGAGGTGTAGTTAGAGCTTTCTGTGGCTCCCCAGTGCCCTCAGGAAATGGCCTGAGGCCACGGTCAACAGCCCATGCCTTGAGCCCCCCCCAACCCCTCCCATTCGAGCAACACCTCCTTTACACTACGGCAGGTGGTGAGGTCCCAGGCACAGGCCCTAGGGCCGGGTCCAAGCAGCGGCCGTGAGATCTTGGGCTAGTGACGCCCTCTCCGGCCTTAATTTCTCCATCCCTGAAGTGGGAATAAGAGCATCTACCTCATAACGTTGCTATAAGAATTAAATGTGTCGGTAATACACGTAAAGCTCTGAAATAATGGCTGGAGCACAGGGAACGCCCTCCTCCCCGTCTTGAGCCCTCTGAGTCACTGTCGATGTCACCCCCTCCAGGCAGCCCTCCCATCCCGACCCATACCCGCTGGATGAGCTTGTTGAGGGTGAAGTTGACCAGGCCATGCTGCAGGAGGGCCCCAGCCCCACGGAGATAATAGGAGCGGTGGCCGGACACGTGGGACAGGCGCCTGGGAGACAGACGGGCGGACAGGCGGGTGTGTGTGGGCCGGGGCTGGTGGGGGAAGAGGGGGACCCGAGCACCCTGAGGCAGAGGCCAGGTGCCAGGCGGGGGACCGGGCATCAAACATTCATGCGGGGTGAGGCCCGGGCGGCTCCACACCTGGTGCTGAGCCAGCTGCTAGGGCGGGGAGGGCGGAGGGGGCGCGAGCGGGCGGAGCTCACTTCTGCCGGATGATGTCA